ATATAGTTACAATTGATGAGGCTTGGATATACTTATCTGATTCCGATAGAAAAAGATCGATTCACTACAGAAAAAGAGGAGAAAAAGACTTAATATATTGGTTCAGAGAAAAGGAGGAAAGTTTTTCAAAAGGTTTTATGGTCATTATTGGATTCTCTTATAACGAAAAACTTAAAATAAGGAAAGTAGAAAAAAATGTTAAAAATGAATTTGGATTACTATCAAAAATATGTTTTAACACTTATTTTTAAAGAAGAAATTCCATCAAGTTTCATCAGGATTAGGCTCCAAGCCATACCTGTAAATCTACTGCTCTGTTTTTTGAAAAAATGAGAAATGAAACCGAAATTGAAGCTATTCCATTTAAATGCATCCTGTCCAAGTCCCCTGATGTGTCTCCTATGGATTACTGTGCATTTAGACTTTATAAACGACATCCCAAAACACTGATAGGACTCTGGAAGCTTTGTGAAGGAGCAGTGGGATAAGATCAACCTTGAGGTTTTAAGAAAAGGACTTTTATCTTGGAAATCAAGATATAATATGATAGTTCAATAAAAGGGCTATCAGACTGAACCTATTGTAGAAAATACAATTCTAAGGTTTGTTCATACATAAAATCTTTACAAAATTGTTGCAAAAACGTGTGCACACTCTCTGTATGTAAACGATGAAATCTTACTGAGTTACCTGAGTTTTCAACAACAAATTTCCATGTAATATTAATTTTCTGCAATGATTGTAGTGAGGAAAGATATCAGTGTACGGTCAAAAGTCTTTAATCCGGACTCGTCGGGACTTTGGCGATTCCGGATTATCGGTTTTTCCGGATTATAAATCATTGGTTTAAATCTGGTAAGATGGGGGGGGGAATTAAAATTAAAAATATGAAACCATAATTTATGAAATAAAGAACAATTATGATCTAAAGGGTATCAACATTTACAAACAAAAAAAAAAAAAAAAAAAAAAAAAAAAAAAAAAAAACTTAATATTTATTTGTTTATTTTATTAAACATTTCTTTCAATGTAAGTTGTTTAAGTTGCTTCGTTTTATGTGCTGATACTTTCTCTTTAATTCTATAAACAAACATAATTTCTTGTTCAGTTACATAGTTCCGCTGTTCAAGTTCTGTAATTGCTGTGCCGAGAAAAACCGACTACCTTGTCAATCGAAATTTTTTCCTTTTCACTAACCTCTCTGTCACTTTCTTCATGCCTTTATCCATTTTTTGCAGCAATTCCACTTTTTGTTTGATTGATATCAAAACATGCTTTTGCTTTGTAGATCCTTTGGCAGCTCCAGGATCGGAAATTCTATTTGACATAATTGAAAGTTCAAGCTTACTTTTATGAAATTGCTCTAACAGTCTACAAATAGTAAGCCGGATCCGATTCGAAGATTAAGGAACAACGCAATTTGCAACATTAACTGAAATAGATAATTAGATAATTTTAGCTTAGCTTATACCATCTGTTATACATTAAACACACATGCATAAATGCATTATGTGCATGCGTAAAGGTATTATGCGCACATGTAAACGCATTATGTGTTTATGCATGTGCAGAAAGTTTGTAGTTTTGAGGTCCGGATTATAGATCATTCCACATTATCGACGTCCGGATGAAAGACTTTTGACTATAAAATTACATGAACATCAAACCAAAACTTCACTTTTGAATTAATTTCATAATAAGATTTTAGTATAGCAACTCAACTTGAAAGACAGAGCATTTACTGTAAATCCTGTATTGTTTAAATTTCATTTTTTTTTTTTGCCTTCATATGAAAAATAAATCTTCTTTGTTAATTTTGCTTCTATTAGGGAAACCAACTGTTTCATGTTATACTAGAGTGTCATCAAACAAAAGTTGGTGCAAAGCTCCTGGTGTAGGATGCAACAGACAAGAAATTGGAAATTTGTCATAAAACAAATTAGATGAAAAGTATTTAGAAATGGTCTTTTTTATAGCAGCATTGCCTATAAGATTTCTATATTAATGGGTGAAAGAATAGAGATGATAAAATGAGCCCCGAAAGTAACAGTTCTTGTAACCAAGAACATTTCTTAAAAGGAAACTACTCTAAAATTTTCTTAAAAGCTTGTAGTTTACTTTTTCCCTTTAAAGAATTGTCTTCAAAACCTGAATGTACAGGGTGTCTGCGTAGCGTATTTGGAAACTAAGTTTCTTGTTCATTGACTTTCAATTGTCACCATTTTGGTTGCTCTATGTTGTGTTTTCAGTTTGCTGTGCACATTCAAAATGCTTAAGACAATTAGTTCTCCCGCTGACTGTGAGATTCGTGCCGTGATTAAATTTTTGAATGCGAGGAATGTTAAACTGGCCGAAATTTATCGTCAAGTGACAGAAGTTTACGGTGAATACACGATAAGTGATGGAATGGTGAGAAAGTGGGTAAGAATGTTTAATGCAGGTCGAACAAATGTCCACGCCGAGGCTCGGAGTGGTCAGCTTTCTGTTGTCACCAATGATTTGGTAAGGAAAGTTGATGAAGCAATTCATGAGAACAGACGCTTCACAATGACAACTCTTTCAGAGGCATTTCCACAAATTTCACGTACTATTTTGTTCAAAATTGTGTCTGACCGCTTGAATTATCGCAAACTGTGTTCCCGATGGGTTCCAAAAATGCTCACTGATGTTCACAAAACAAAGCGACTTGGTAGTGCCCTGACATTCTCACGCGGTACAGTGATGAGGGAGAAAACTTTTTAAACCAAATTGTGACAGGTGATGAAACTTGGGTGTGTCATTTCACACCAGAATCGAAACAACAATTGATGGAGTGGAGACACACTCATTCTCCGGAAAAACAAAAGTTCAAAGTGACAATGTCATCACAAACAATCATGTGCACTGTCTTCTGGGATTGGGAAGGCGTTTTGCTTACTGAATTTCTTCCCAGGGGTGAAACCATTAATGCAGCACGATATTGTGAGACTAACAAAACTAAGGCATGCCATTCAAAACAAACAAAGAGGAATGCTCAGTAAAGGAATTGTGTTGCTCCATGACAATGCTCGGCCCCATACTGCTGGTGTCACTCAATCGTTAATTCGACAGTTTCATTGGGAGCAGTTCGATCACCCGCTGTACAGCCGGACTTGGCGCCGTTCGACTATCGCTTGTTCCTGCACATGAAGCGCGAGCTTGGTGGCAAGTGCTTTGGATCTGACGATGACACGAAAAATGCTGTGGAGTCGTGGTTATCGAAACTGGTGGGAAGTTTCTTTGACGATGGTATACAAAAACTGGTCACCCGCTATGACAAGTGTTTGATCATTGGCGGAAACTATGTTGAAAAATAGTTTAAGACATGTATTTTCATGTAAAAATAAAATTGGATTCGAAAAAATTGTTTTACTATTTTTTTTTTCAAAACAGTACTTAGTTTCCGAATACGCCTCATAATTAAAGAACCCTATTTCAAAGCTGCCTGCAAGGAACCAGTAATCAGAAAATTGTAAAATTTTGTGGCAGACTTAATGAAGGGATGAGAATGTCTTTCAGCGAGGAAAAAAAAAAAAAGTTACAGATAGCTAATAAATTATATATTTATCTACACCTTTATAATAGTTTTACAGTTGTACAAATTTTGTTGCAAGAAAACATGTTCCACATGAAGGCTATCATTTTCAGCTACCATCTGAAATGTTTTCAGGTACCTCATTTTCAGCTGTCATGTTCCACAGTTGACCGAAGTGTGTGCTGCAAAATGTTCAACACAGGTCGTGATATGTTAGCTTTAAGATCAGGTAAAGTTCTTGGATTGTCATGACATACCAGATATTTTAAATGTTCTCAGATCCAAAAATTACATGGATTGAGGTCTGGGGATTTGGAAGGTCACACACTATGAAAGTGCCCGCTGTTTTGGCAAAACAATTTTATTAAAAAAGACATGATCTCGTAAACTTATCGTCATTGTGAACATCAAGCACATTAAAAACAAAGTCTCCGGGAATGTTTCTAGGTTTTATAACAGTTGCTGCATAACTTCAACACAGATTCACATTTTTACTACAGGTTTTCAAAGTAAAATGCTCTCTAGTGACTCTATTTGTAAAAAAAAAATTTTTTTTCTCCTTGAAAGACATTCCTCATCCCTTCATAAGGCCCACCATAAAATTTTAGGATTTTCTGATCACTGGTTTCGCTTGTAGGCAGTTTTGAAATAGGGTTTTTTAATTATAGAGACTCTATATATGAAATATTGGGCAGTTTTCCTTGCTTAAGAATGCCTGCTTTAACTCTTTTAGTGGTCTCAGTATTTAAAATATACTATATCCAAATATACTATTGCACTTATATTTGAAAGTTAAGAGAGGAAATGCTCCTATTGATGTGTAATTTAGGGTAAAATACTTTGTCTCAGCAGTGACAAAATGGTTAAGACTGCTGAATGCTGATAGCTCGAACCAGTCAGACAGGCTGGCTTCATGATTGGTTTTCATCCTTTTCCCCATGTGTAACATGAATATGAGCCATTTTCTCTTAAAAGTTTCTCCACAAAGGCATCAATCCCTTAAGCCGAAAACCTGTGTGAGCTTTGCTGTATTTGAATAACCTAACTTTTAAATACTTGATTTTTGTAACCTTTTCAGTAGGGATATCCCTCAATGATAACTGATTCTGCAGTCAGTATTTAACTTATATGACATCATTAAATACTCTTGAATAGAAAATGAGTCAGAAATGCTCATCAGAATTTTTGCAATGGATAGTTTAAAGAACATATATAAAAACAAATTTGAAACAGTTTATAAAGCACACAATTTACTCAGATAAATAATAAATGTAAAATTTGGGCAAAAGGTTCTTTCTGGTACTTCTCCTTGAAGCAGGCTAATCATGTACAGTATGACAAAGTGATATCAGAATTTAAATGTTATTCTTTATTCCTGCAAAAATCTCAGTTATAACATCTGAATAAGTCTAAACATACATTTAATTTGCTCATTTTTCTTTTTAAGGTATCAACAGATTCTCCATCGAAATTTGGTATTCTTAGCTTCAATTGCTGATGCTGTTCCAGGCATACTTCCTGTGAGTAATAATTGATTTATTTAAAAGATAAATTTTACTTTGTGAATCATAAAATATGTACATGTTATTAACTTACTATGTGTAGAAATCTTTGTATTCCTGAGCAGTGTCTATTTATTTTGTTTGCATTAACTTTACAGTACAGGGTGATTATAATTAAAGTTTAAGTTTCAAAACGCTATAAAAAAAGAACCACTGATGAAAATGATGTGAAATTTGAAAGGAATGTTATTGAAGAAGGCGGAAAGCGGATGGCAGAAGAAAAAATTTAGTTTCAAAAGTTAGCAACAGATGGCGCTGTAAGCGGCAGAGAATCACGACGAGAGAAAAGAGAAATGATTCGTAAAACAACGGCTAAGATGGAAGTTTACACATAAAAACGCATTGACAAATTAGAATTGTTGAATAATTTTATTTGCATGACTGTACATATCACATCGAAAGGGGGACGAATCGGTTTCAAGAGTTTTGCGGCGACATACCGCATAAGAACCATTCATCAAAGAAGTTCGGAACTGTAGCGAGCGAGACTGGCGCAAAAACATGTTCAATATGGGTGTCCACCGTTGTGTGCAACAAGTTGAAAGCGACAAACAGCATGTTCCACAACGGATCGCAGTGTCTCCGGGGTGTTGTTAAGAAAGTGTTGCGAAATGCGTGCCTTTAATTCCGCTAAATTTTCAATTGGAGCATGGAACACAACATCCTTCAGATATCCCTACAGCCAGAAATCACACGGAGTAAGATCAGGCGATCGGGACGGCCAGGCTGTAGGGAAATGACGGCTGATAATTCGAGCATTTCCGAAATGGCGCCTCAGCAGCTGCTTCACGGGATTTGCAATGTGCGGAGGAGCGCCATCTTGCATAAAAATGATTTCATCCACACATCCACGCTGTTTGCAGAGCTGGAATCGCGTGGGTTGCGCAAAAGAGACGGATACCTCTGACCAGTGATGGTTTGCGGTAACAGGACCGGGGAAGCACTCGTCTGCTCGAAAAAAAATATGGTTGTAGGATGAATGAAGCCGTAAAGCCACAACATACCGTGACCTTTTCAGGATGAAGTGGTACGGGGTGCGTTGCCAGTGGATTTTCTGTTGCCCATATTCGACAATTCTGGGTATTCACGTATTCTGCCAGATGGAAATGGGCTTCATCTGTCCACAAAATTTTCCACGGCCATTCATTATCCACTTCCATGCGAGCCAGGAATTCTAACGCAAACGTCTCCCTAGCTGTCAGGTCAGACGGAAGAAACTCCTGCACATGGCCAATTTTGTACGGATAGCATTGCAGGATGTTTCGTACAATTTTCAGCAGTGTGCTCGTAGGCCTGTCTAGTGTTCCGGCAATTCCTCGTGCACTACACTGTTGCACACCACCGGCCGACCCCTTCCTGTAATGCTGTGGACCACTTCTTCAACTACCGTCGAATGCACTCGCTTTTTCTCCCTCTTACCAGATTGCACATCAAACGAACCTGTCGTTTTCGAATTTTTGCATTCATTTTCTTTAGATCCTATGACACTCATTGGACCAACGCCTTCTTCTATATCCTTTCAGTGTCCTGAATTTTTGCAGAGCTACTCTTGCACAATCATCATTCTTGTAATACAGCTTTACAGCAGAGCGCGGGGTCCTGCAGTGAAACACCCATGGTGAACATCTGAGACGCGAAATGAGGAACAGCCTTGGTACCTGCTGGCGGCTTTATAACACTGAAATTTAACTAACATTTTAATTTACGTCTTCTTCCGCTTGCAGCGCCATCTGTTGCTAACTTTTGAAACTAATTTTTTTCTTCTGCCATACGCTTTCCGCTTTCTTCAATAACATTCCTTTCAAATTTGGCATCATTTTCATGCGTGGTTCTTTTTTTATAGCGTTTTGAAACATAAACTTTAATTATAATCACCCTGTATTTTGTTTGCATTAGCAATGCAGTAGGAAGTCCAAGATCTGCAATCGTCAAACTCTGGCTTTTTTTTTTTTTTTTTAATTTGTTTGTGGATGAAAAGATAAAGGTTACTTATCGGGTTAAAGTTGGTGATTTTCGTGACATTTTCTTGAAAAAATTCCCAAATAATAAATATTTATCATTAGTTGTCAAGCATTATTTACAGATCTATTTTTGCTTAAAAAAAAAAAAACATCGGAGGATTGCAGAGACTTTGTATTACACAAAACTCAGCAGCACTGGCTATCTAATAAACACATCTCCTTGTTGTTCTATTTAGAGATTTTGTCTGTATTCATGCAAAAATTTTTTTGCAATTCTTTTTCCATTGCTGGCAAGTTCCACAAATTCATATTTGAAAATTAAATTTAAGTCAAAAAATATGATTTGTTTATAAAAACTGTTGAAACTTGGAATAAAATAAAAAGAACACATACGGAAATGACAATTATAAAATATTATGTAGATGTTAGTAATTGTTGTTGCTTGACCAAAGGATTATTATGAATATTGTTGCTTGAAGAATGATTATGCACATGGTTGCCAGAATATGGCACATTCTGAAAATTTGGCCATTTCTATTAAGGTGGTTGTAATAGCATAATTTACACTAAATCATACTGCTTTTTAAAAGTTTTACAATTAACAGGATAACACATAAACACAGAAAATTCCTTTGGCATACTAATGGTAATAAAATTATGAATTGAAGATGTAACGCAGTATTAAATGATGGAAGAATATTATTGAATGGAATTTAAAGGGGGAAAATGAATCTCAAGTTATTCTGATTTAAAGTACATTCCAGTGTGTAATGTGCACTTTTAATGCAAAAAGTGAGATTGAATTTTAAGGGTGCAGGTTTTAAGCTGAATATAAAAAAAAGTACCGTAATTTCCTTAAGAAACGCAGCGGTGTTTACGTGTTTAAAACTTAAATTTTCAGCGGGTGCGGCGTTTAGGTGCACTAAAAATAAAATATTTCCTATGATGGTCATTGTACATAGTTTGGATGGCCTTGTCATTGTGCATAGATTGGTGCTGTTCCCACACAAAAGACCACTCAGTTGCTTTTTGCGAACGTTATTTTGTTTACATTCTTTCCCTTGAACAGACTTACATGCCTTATTCGCCCTAACGAGATCTCAGAACAATAACTTCTTTTCCCCCCTTTCAAATCAACATTCTCATCCGGTTGATAGTCTCTTTCCTCTGCCATTCGATGATCTTCCAGGACCCACTTTTCCACCCCTGCCTTTTTCTGCAATTTTTTTTCAAAGGCGGACACGACTCCACCTGCCTCGCAATAACGAACTCTGACGTATTTCCTCTTCAGCATGAATGGATTTTTTGTTGGCATTCTGCCAATACAGATCCCATCAGTTAGGGTACAAGTACTTGTTGGACAGTTTTTAATTAGGGAGCGGAAATTTTTTGAAAATGTCTCTAAATGGCACAGACGCTATACATTTCTTACCTTTAATTTATTTTTGAATTATGGTTTCATTTCATGCATTTTTCTTAACTGGTATGTCATATATCAGGACTTAGGTTGAGTTTTTGCATCTATACGGCCCACGACGATGTCACGCACAATTTAATCTATTGCGGTGTTTACGCTGATGCGGCGTTTGTGTAATTTTAATTTTTTTCCCGGCATTTTTCTCGAGTGCGGCGTTTACGCTAATGCGGCCTTTCTTCCGGAAATTACGGTAATACATTTAAAAATAAGGAAAATAACATACAGAAATTTCATGTACCCAAATTCTGTTTAATTTAAAAGAAATGACACACCTTATGAACTTCAAAATTTTCATTATCAGATAATTTCCTTTAAACAGATTAATTATTGTGCTTGTCATTTTTCTTTCGCATATGGAGCTTTCATCAATGCCAAACACCTTGCTGCAGCATGATTTTTGTTTCCTCGTGGAAATTGAATGACTTCATATTTGAAACCAGCACTGTATTTATTTTGTTTGGCAGGAACCATATTTACTACTAAAAGGATCACTAGATCAACTATATTTCAACTAAGCAAATGCGGCCTTCGATGTTCGCTTCAAACTTGTGGCTTCAGATGATTACAGAAAGAAAAAACATTCAGATGACTATAGGAAGAGAAAACAAAACCTCGAATTCATTTCTTACCCTAAATTATGTCCCTCCTTATCTCAAAACCCTAGAATAACATTCTTGTGCACACCTGCATCAAATACAACCCACCCTTTCTGCAGAATAATTTACTCCTTTAAGCATTTCCCCCCCACACACACTGGTTCCACATTCGGTGTACTTCAATTGAATGACTTTGAAAGATAAAAACATCGCACATGTATCTTTCAGGTTTTTTCATAAAGAAAAAGGTGTGCATTATACTGCAAATGTACTTAAAAAAGTGTAGTTTGAAATTATAGGTGCGCATTATATGCCGGAATATATAGCATTTATTCATAGACTCTTGAAGGCAAATTGAGTTATATCAAATATCAGATATTTTGAAATTAAATAGCTTGGTCAATTTTTGTTTTATGAGAGCCTAATTTAAATTGAAAAAATTCAAAACATATTTACATCATTTAAAACATTATATTAATGTTAATGACAATTGCATGATAATGTCTTGTACTTCCATTTGACATTACAGCATCAGTGACAGTTGTAATGTCAATTAAAAATGTATGTCAGTGTCCAACAGTTGCAAAAATTAAGCCTGGGTAAGGACTTCTTTGGAAACAGTGCATATAAAGGACTAGCTAAGCACTTGTATTTAGCTTTAATTTGCTATAGCTCTTAAAGTATTCTTTTTAGTAGAGTTGCTCTTCCTTTCTATTCTGAAAACAGTAATATGCTTGTGATAAATCTGTCTAAAGTGTCTTATTTCAAAATTAACCCTTGTCATAATATTCTTAATGTGATGCTTTAGGTATATATAGTAACATAATTCTACAAGTAAATATAAAATCTTTTATTGAATTACAGTGAAATGAAAACTTTATTAAACTGCAGTAGAAAGTCTGAAATATGGACATATAGTTTCCA